AAAAAAATTTTACCTTATATAGAAAGGCGCCTTTTAAAACGGACTCAAGAAAAATACAGGCATTAATTACTTAAGAATATCCAGATAAATGCAGAGCTTCACTTATCTTTGAAATTGAGCTGCGCGCCTTGACCTTGACCTTTAAGCTACAGATTAATTATTTATTAATTATTATAATTATTATAATTATTATAATTATAATTATTATAATTATTATAATTATTATTAATTATTTATTAATTAATTCTTCATTGAGACCCACGGGCCTGCCGAATATCGTTATCTGGAGCTTAACGAAGTATCTGGCTCGGTTTAGCTAGAATTGCTACGAAGACCTACTCCAAACTACTTCCGAGGTCAGTCTTCTGTGAGCAAAATTTCACAATGAATTTCGTTCGGAAAAAGCTTGGTTATGTGCTCAGTGAACTAGTCACTTCGCAATTTAAGCTACACGTTATAAATTAATGCAATCACGAAGAGATTTTGCTATCATGGGGAATGCAAACGGCCCAACTATGTGCAACGCAAGTAGGGTGCCGCGGGAGGGATTCGGACCAGGAACCCCTCGGGTGAGAACTGACGCTCTTAACCGCTCGGCCACGTCCGGACAGCAGGCTAAAAAAAGAAGTAATATATACTTAGAAAACAACGATCTGTCCCACATTTGTAGACCCTTTTCCATTTCCTGAGATTAAAATCTGTCGGAAATACTCGATTCGCTCTCCACTGGGCGCGAGGGACCACTGACCACCGATCCTGAAGAACGCAGTGCATTATTGAAATCGAACACAGATAAGTTAAATACTGGCATGTCGACACGCTGTGATAGATGCCGGGAAATAAGCACCAGAGTTTCGAGATAAGAAGCAGATATCGATTTCCTCACAGAAATAATAGCATCACTCCTCAAGCATACAACAATTCAATCCCGAGAACATAATGCAAAAGATATGAAAAACACAAATAAAAAGGACCATAGGAATCTCAGGAAACTGGAAAAGGGCGACGGGCGTCACGTTCAGCGAAACCAAAAGAGGCAACGACCGAAGTCGTCAGACAAATCTTCCGACTCAATCGAAATAAAGGAGAACAAAAAGAAAACAAACGAAGATGAAACTAGTTCTCGCGTTTCCTTAAGTTTGGCAAATCCGGGGCATGAAGAGTCCGTCTGCACCAAAATAAGGCAGCGATCGACGACAACAAGGAAAACTGTAGGCCGTAATCCTTTAGATTCACCTAAACCACGAAAGAACGGTAGCAGCTCTCTCTACATATGTCCATTTGACTGTAATGCAACAAGTCAGGTGAGGCGGCAAAGCAAAGGCGCAAAAGCGTCCATCATGGAGACAGGTTTTTTCCGGAAAAATCACTTTGCTGGTAGTCCAAGGAGTCCCTGAGGCAACTGGCGAAAACCCAAAGGAGAGAGCAAAGTAGGGTCTGTTGACAGTCCGAGATTTATTAAATGGCACTCAAGAACCCGGTGAGGTGGTTGAAATGCAAAAGATCCTTCATTTGAGGCCTGCAGTTAGAGGCAACACAGAGCAGATGCGACCAAGGCCACTGAAAGTCGTCTTGGGTAGCAAGCAGCAGGCAGATCTAATCAGGTCTCGAAAGTCCAGACTAAGGAACAACAACCGCGGAGTGTTTCTTCCGCCAGACTACTCTCCCGTCGATCGAATGAAAAGGTGAACACTGACAGTAGAGCTGAAAAGGTGTCAGAGAGAAGGAGCAAACGAAACTGAAGATTGTAGGCAACGAAATCATCAATACGGAACGTAGATTTCTATTGAATCATCCGGTGAAATTGACGGTTAACACGGCAGTTATCAGTTCCATCGAACACTTGTAAATCTGAAGACAGACAGTGGACCGAATAGTTCGTGCGAAATGTACAACAGTAACTGTCAGATGTAACAACCGACAAACAATCTCCAGAGACCGAGGGAGCTAAAAACATGATAATGATGTGAAAAAACTTACAGAGTCTTACCAACAATTTGGATGAAATTAATCTGACCATGGCACATTTGCAATCTGACTTTATAACTCTCACAGAAACATGGCCGTATGAGCAAATAGCAGATGCAGAAGTCACGCTGGACGGATTCCAGTTTATTCGCACGGATCGAAGTGGACGTAGGGGTTGAGGAATCGCGATTTTCATATGGGACGGCATCAGCTACGTAACAGGTGGGTCCTCCCCAAAAGGGAACACTGGTTGTGAAATCCATAGTTGTAAATTGTAAGTGCCCAATCAACCGAACCTCCTGTTGCTCTGGTAAGGAAGGATACGGACGACAAATTCATCACAGGGTTAAAGCAGATCAGCCGTCGCAAACACGTAATAATAATACTTGAAGGTTTTAATTCTTCAGACATCAATTGGGAATCGATGCACTGCACGCCATCAGAAAACTCATTCGAACAGAAGCTGCTCCTGTTGCTTACAAACGAATTCCTTACTTAACATGTTACAATGAATACCCGATTCCAAAGCGAACAGCAAAGCTGTTTGGACCTTATCATTACCAGGGATGAGAACTGTGTCCTTGGAGTAACTTTTAACACGCCTCTGGGCCGAAGTGATCATTGCGTTCTTGATTGGAATTACAGTCATTTTTCTGTACCCGAAATCCGAACCGAAAGGGAGAAAAATGTATGGCAAGGGAATTATTCCAAAATGAAAGACTAACTGACTGAGATAGAATGAAAACCTGCGCGTGTATCTGACCCAAACGCCGATTGGGTTTTCTTTAAGAAAGTGAACTGATACTTGGCAGAAAACTGCTGCCCGCTCAAACGTAGGTCGTGCGTCTCCCGACCGGAGTGGGTGACATCAGAAATAAAAAGATATCTCAAAAAGAAAAGAAGACTGTGGAGGAGATACACAACGTGTCAACAATCCGAACATCTCTCGGAATATAAGGAACAGCGAAATAGGTGTCGGCGTCTACTGAGAGGAGAAAGAGCAGCATTTATATCAAAAATAGTCAAAAAGTACCAAAACATCTAAAGAAGGTCTTTCCATACGTGAATAAGACAAGACGTAATGGAAACTCCGTGCCCTGTCTTAAGAATTATCAGGAAAATAAGTAGTCGCCCATACAATCTTCGCGACTCGTCCTTGATTATACCTCCTCCAGCGTCCTCCACCTATAAGTGTTCCCTTTTTTCGCATCCAGATCTACTTTCCTCTACCTTCCAATAAATATGAGATCTTCAGAAAATCTACACTTCTTTAAGAGAAGGCTACGCCTTTATCTGAATACTAACTCTATTAAACTTTTATTTTCCTCATGCTTCCCAGACAACTTTTCTATGACACTGAGAAAGGGCAACCACAACCTTAGCCACTGCGACATCACCCTCTGGTAAATGCAGCACACGCCGAATGGGGACCACTTGAGCTTGACCCACGTGCCTACGAAAACGGCTGCCACAAATGCCTCTCGGAATCTCAGAAATGACTGGACGCAGTCAACACCAACCATGGCTTATCCAGGGCCACTGCCGCCTGAAAAAACAAATCCGGGTTCTTTTTACATTAAATTCCTCATTCTGGTGCCTTCTGTCTTCTCCTTCCAACATCGAATTTGACTTGATGATTGCAGCGCGCTGAATTAACACTCACACCGCTTGGTCAAAAGATGTCTCTCTCAGGCCCACCACCATATTCTAATTTTAACATAAAAGTCGATTCTTCAGCTCTTGACTCTAAACACTTTCTGAAAACTCGATGCGGTGAATAAGAAATGCAGACTACATAGGTGAGAATTTACGAAAACCACTGATATCGGACAGTTGAAAGTGTCCGTCGGTAAGAAAACGTTGCCAGCTGAATTGCAAAACAGATTTTGTTGCTAAAAATGCATTTTTATCTTTTCTCATTTATACTACGCTTGTTTTACACTTATTTCCTTGAAATCACGTTTACTAGAGTTGCATTAACTATGTAAATTATCACAAACCCGCGTATTCCAAAGTCGCGTATGTAAGCCTTCTGGACCAATCAAAAGTCGAGGACGGGATTTACATTCTCTGTTGCCTTATTGCTTTCCGCTTTGCGGAAAAGCAGTGACGAATTTATTGCTCGCGCCAAACATAAAAGAAATACATTTTGACGAAAAAGGTGAGATTGAACTTTTTTACTGGAGGATTCCAAATTATTTTTGGACGCTATTATTGTCGCTAGCGTATGCCACCTAGTTGACGCAGCTATATTTTTACTCTTGGAAGGAGCGAGTTGTAAACCGATTACTGGTTTTGTAAACAGAGTCTCTTTAATCAGAATCTTTTTTTCCTCACCTTTTGGGGACGCGACTTTCTAGGTGCCTTTTTGTGAGATACCCAAGGCATATGTCCTCGAGGACAGACTCCACGCTTACCTATATAGGCCATATGTGCAGAGGAAAAGATAACCGGAACCCCGTTCTTGCCTGATACTTTCGATTGGATTTTAGCACTTAGTATACGAGGGGATTTAGAGCAGACTTTCACCGTTATCCCGCGAATACTTTGGATATGCGTGCTTATGTGAAGTTACTTCTGTCGTGTAATTAATCCTTACTGAATTGTTCGAGTAAGCTGTCAGAATCTAATCCTGCATTTGTAATATACCTAATTAATTGTTGCTTTGTTTCTTTGCCATCTAGCCCCGAAAAAATCCACTTTAAACAACCACTCGTGTTGCTTCCCTATAAAAAATAGCTAACAGAGGCGGCGTACCTCAGTGGAAACCTGAAGTTCCGTGCTAGATTATGGTGCATAAGAAGGTCAACGTTCCCAGCGAGACCCTAATAGACCTCACTTTTTGAGTTATTGCATTGATCTCCGATTTATAGATAGCATGTAGCCCTAGGTTTCTGACAGTTGTATCTGGAAGTAGGTACACTCCCGCCTCCTAATGGTTCTGGGAATTGCTTTAGAAGAAGCTGTGATGTATTTCAACAAGAAGATTTTTGGATGCTTACCGGATACTCAGCATGTCTTTCTCGATGATCAATCATTTTTTTCGATGGCTAGTGTACCCCGTAGAATCTTTGCGAACTTTTGTTTGCATATTCATGAGAATGGGTACGTTTATAGGCATCAAGTAGACGTCGCAATCAAACTCACGACTTTCTGTCAGGACCTTGTAGTTAAGAGGGTTAGAGCGTTGGCTGTACTAAAGCCTTGCCCCTTACTGCGTGGGTTCGAATCCCACCGAGGCGCCGAGTTTTTCACAGTTGGGTCAATATGAACTTAAAATAATCTTCTCGGCACACGAGCTTTAGGGCTCGATTTAACTTAGGCTCTCAACTTAACGTTGGAACTGTCTATACTCACACCCGCTACTTCAGCATGTATAAATAGTGCTGTGTTGATGAAAATTCCCTTATTTACTCCACACAAAAGTACGAGACGAAACCTTTTATGAGTGTTTTGTCGATCTTCGGTGACTAAGTGGTACATGTGCTCAGATATCGCCTGACAACTACGTACCCAGCGTCCCATATTTGACTTCAAGTCTCGTATTAGTTATTTGTACTTTCTTTGTTCGACGACTGGCGTTTGGACATTTCTTATGGAGCGTGACTGCGGATATCGAGTTTATGAGCCCACCCAATCCAGCTCTTTCAAGACAGGCTGGGAAAACAGCTTATACTTACATCTGAAATATAGCATGTTCTAATTTAATCAACGTTTGGAAGCAATCTTGCTGAAGTCCATGCACGGGCGGTGCTAGTCAGGTATCCGGCATTGTTTTCACTGATTTGCTGGTGACTGTCTGCCACGCATTGGGAGGTTTGACCGGTGGATCGTGATTTGCCTTCCCTCCTTTGGACTCCGATAGTGTGCCCTTTATGCATTTAAGGTTTAGCGTTTTACATTTTACTTATATTCGACACTGATCAGGGTATTCGGGACCCAAACGTTTGTCTAGCTCCCATGTGTTTGTTGGCTCATCAGTAGATCCGCTAGTACTGGCCGCATGCCCTTGGACATTACTGGTTATATCAAGTGTTTGCCTAGAATTTATACAAAGTCTGTACAAGTCAAAGGTCCCAGTTGTTTAGCAGATTGTTTCGCGGCCGTGTTGTCTAAATCCAGACGTCTTATCGATCGTCAGCATCCGTTATTATTCATGTGGTTTTTTCTGCCTATTCTCTCAACCCTAGGTGAAAACTTTTGTCTATCATTTTGGAAGGAAAAGGAACCATTCTGTTAAGAAGACAAACCTTAACCTTTGGTCCTAACGTGATACCAGTCCCTTGATTTGAACTCCCGACTTCAGCGGAATGACCGCCGAATGTTTATAGCTGCCATTTTGGCGGCTTATGGTGTGCTTTGACAGTTGAAAAGGCCTGATCCATACAGCAAACCCAGGTACTTATCAAATGTACAGTCACGTTTTGTGTCTGCTTTTGTAAATGCGGGCACTTCGTCAAAGCATTTATTCCTGAGTTTGTGCAATGCGGGGTATTGTTGCTTAATGATAAAAAGCCGCTTTCTGCTTATCACATAGTTCTATATTCACGAGAAATTACAGACAAGCGCTTTGGATTCTGTGGACTTCAGGGGAGAAACATCCAAGCATATATATGTATATATACTTGCTATTTCGCGCGGTGTCACCGGAAGACTTTGCCGTCTTGTTGCTTTTTGTCTCACTTACTGCATTTTGTTTGTTTTTTTTACCATACTTCTATAGTGGGCACTCGCCAATCGCAGACAGGTTTTTTGATGGATCCTGTAATGCATATTTCAACTGAGATCATCCCAAGTTACTTGTTTGTCTGCCTGTAGTATCGTATTAGGTTACTATTGGGTCCAAAAGCAGGCGGTGCTATCTCAACACACCTCAGTTGGAACTGAGTAGGTCTGTGACAGGCGTTATACGGGGGGCATCAAGCCCAACATCTCAGGTCGGCTTGACATGTATGTACAGCTGGCATTTCATGAGAGGGAGAGGAAGTGGGGTCACTTTAACGCGAATCCGCCACACTACTACCCTCAATGCAAACAATCGGTGACAGCTTAAATTCTCAGGAGCGCTAAATGTAGTCCGTAGAGGGATGTCTATTGGCGGAGTAAACGGGTCCCGGTGCCCCAATGTCCCCTTCGTAGCTTGAACTTCACGATAGGCAATTTTGGTGCGAGACCCGAGACCCGATTTATTTGAAGCCGAGCTCATGCCAATGGAGAGACCAGCAAGTGTGTGGCGCATGTTTGTGTTTCCGGTCCCAGCTGGTGGTCAGGGTTATGATTGGCTGAATGAAGGCACAATAAGCCCGAAACAGTACTGCATCAATCTACCCGCATTCTCTGTCGTCCCTCCTCTCTGCTATAATGACTTGGCCGACTTCGGCCTGGTAATTGGTTGCCTGTTCGTGACCTTTGCCACCCAAACGGAGCTTGTTTGCTTCGTGAAGCCAATAGCTCGGTGTGCGCCCATTCCTGAGTGCGTATACATAGATATATAGGCAGAATGTTATTACCGACAAAGACAAGGGAGACTGGAATGACCATTTCTGGCTTATTAGCCGTCGTCAGCCAGCCATACCCAAGCCCGAAGTGTGGAACACCCGAGCCTCGAACTCGCAACCTGTTGGTTTAGAAGTCCACGCCTCTACCCACCGGGCCACGAGCCCGTTGCCCTGTCGGTTTTCGATCGGGAATATACAATGGTAGGGGGCGCTATTCTGCCTATGTATCATGCGCCGCTGTGCGGCAGCTGGTTGAGCTCGAGAGAGAGCCCTAAAGGCACAACGGAACGAGTGAGTTCCGTATGAACGATAGGTTAGCGCCCCCTACCATAGCTGAATGCTGCTCACCTGAACAGCAACGACAGATCAGTCCACCGGCTGACGTGGGAGGGGCCAAGCGGCACGTTGATTTGACCACAACTAAACCGACCCCAAAGGGAACAAAGGTCACGCAGGCCTATCAGCGGTCAGCTCCGGGGAGGTCTAAGCCAGTCAGCGGCAAACAGGCAGGTGCGTCCAGCACGGCTATAATACGAGGCAAGCGGCAAGACGGAATAACTCAAGACCCTCAAGTGCAACAATTACGCTACTCTGATGATGGAAACGAGGAAGCTTCCGAAACGTCAGTTCGAATACAATATGGTCCATGGATTCGCCCTCTCTTCTTCTTCGTCTTCCTCGGGAGATGATGAACGCGATACAATGTCTGGACCTCGAATCTTTACGCATATCGATCCACACTTGGGGTTGGGTATGACTGGCTGATGACGGCTAATAAGCCAGAAATGGCCATTCCGGTCTCCCTTGTCTTTGTCAGTACTATCTCATCTATATCTACTACTAGTCGCTTTGCGACTGCCTTCGAGGGTTTAATTATGAGCCCCAAGGCACAACGGAACGAGCATGTTCCGCAACCTGATCGGTGAGCGCCCACCATCATAATATATATGTATATGAGATGGTACCGACAAAGACAAGGGAGACCGGAATGGCCATTTCTGGCTTATTAGCCGTCATCAGCCAGTCATACCCAACCCCAAGTCTGGATCACTT